TATTTTTATAAAAGCAGTAATTTATAGATAAAAATAGTTGATCTACAAAGAATTGTCTGTTCTATTTGATATCAGATGAGGTTAGCTAGGTATTTATTTAACTCAGAAAAATAAGCTCTTTACAAAGCGGATCGACCCGAAAGCCACACGAAAGCTCACGAACGCAATTTCGGTTTCGGTCATAGTTTGGGCGGGTTTTCTGCCGAAACGGAAACTAAACTAAAATTCCAATTTAGCGTTGAAACTTGCCATTAAAAGTTCAGTTGGATCCAAGTATTAAGTGACTAAGTCATCTGGACCAAACCGCTGACATACTAAACCACTAAAAAAAAGTCATTTTTGAAGTTTGTGATACAGTTTGGAATGGAAGTATGAAATGAAAAATATATTTTTTTTAAATGTAGGTACTTCAAGCTTACGTTTAAAATTTTCGATTTTAAAAAGCACACGCCCGGAGTCAGACTAATTGTTGCCTTATAAAACTGTTAACATAGTTCTTTAAAGACAATATACCAGCTTGTTTTAAGACGGCTTCTCTTTTGTATATCAACTTAGTCCAACGTGCCAGTAACTGTTGCAGTATAAAACTCTACAACAAACTTATATAATTTATGTTTACAGTGCTTTATAATTTTGTATAAAATCCTTTACGAATTTTACAAGTCATTTTAATGGTTAATTCTATCTAAGCTAATGGATAAATGAAGAGAATTTTATGTAATTTCTAAGAAATTTTGCTACAATGATGATATATTAAAATTTGTGCAATAAAATAAAGTAAAAGCTTAAGAATAATAATTTTTCAATTTTCAATTTAATAAGACCCTTTGTAAATTTGAATTAAAAACAATAATTATTACAGCGTATGTGTGTGTGTTATACGTATGTCCCATGAAATCGGATAAGATAGTCAATAAAAAAATCAAAGATTTGATATAAGGCTTTTACTATACAGTCCTATACTAAAAACAGCAGTGCCTTTGTCGGTTTGTCAGTCTTTTTCCAAATCTACTTATGATTTCACTTATTTTTTATATTACCAGTATATAGGTCACATATCTTGATTTGCATATCATAAATCAATTGCAAATCGAATAAAATATTCCACTCATGTACTTTTATTTTTATATAGAACACAGAGTAATGAAATTATAAATTATTAGCGACTTACCTGTTTGAGTCGGGTGCATCCCTTGGCATTCCCATAATATTTTACAGCAAGCGCCACCTATTGGCAAATAGTAGCCTATGTATTACTCACAATTCTTGTTTATTTGTACTAAATTTTATCCTAATTCGTCCAACTGCTTCATCGTGAAAGAATAACAAACATACACACACGCATATATGTACATATAAATATAAGCTTTCTCATTTATAATATTAGTTTAAAATCATCCACTTGCCAAAATTATTCTCATCATCAAATACTATAATTGATTAAGCCTTTCACTGTTTATTGTTTTGGTTATTAATATTCAACAGTATAAAACATTACAGTGGGACGAATGGGCAACAATCTTTGATATAACCATCTAGTAGATAGGTATAGACTATAAATCAGGGCGAAAGTGACGTATACATCATTGTCAGCTCAGCGATGGACAGACCAGTATAAATCTATTTTGTTGAGGCCTGTGAAGCTTTCTAAATGTTAACTTGAAGTTTAATATATCTACGAATATCGTATTTTAGACATCATATATTAAGTCACAACTGAAAAGTGATCTATTGCTTTCTACTCCCATATCAAAATGTTGGGCTCATTTGTTGGGATAATAGGTTTTGAAATTCAATCTAATACTAAGGAGGCTTAAATCCTCTTCCAATGCATCAACCCTTAAAGCATTGCGTGCGTATAATTTATTCTGGCCAATTTTCGTGATATAAAACTTGAACATTCTATTTAGGTAGATTGAAATAAATTGCTTCCTGCTAGAATTATCTCTACTTTTCTTTGTTTATTTATATTCTCGAATAAAGATGTTATTGTACAAACTTTCATTAATTAAAATGAAAAACATCAATATATTGTAAGCAAAATTTTTAAGCTAGTAAAAATATTACCCTGGCGGGTATTCAGAGTATTTATTAATTACATACGCTCGATTCAAAGTTACAAAGGGCATGGACGGGGTTGGCCTGGGATTTACCGCCAATCCTGACTAACCAGGAACGATTAATCACTGAGAAGTTGATTCTGATTGATAGCTAGAACCCCTTTATAGAAAAGGCGAAATTCTCACCCATATTCACACTTGAAGTATAAAATTAAACGAATAAAATTATAAGACTTGAATTTTCATTCATGAAAATAAATTATACATTTTTGTTAAAAAAATATACAAAAACCATGAAAATCGGTCCAGCAGTTCTCGAGTTATAAGTGTTGTAACAAACCCGACTTTGTTTTATATACTATATAAATATCATTTTTTTAACATTTTGTTTCTTATATATCTATACAAGTAAACAATAAATCTCGCGACAAGTTTTTATCTTCTATCTATTCGATCTATACATATAATAAAATTGTAACCAAGCCGAATCAGTACATTAATTTTTTTTGAAAAATCTTATTGAAATAGACATTATTATCGATACAGAAGCCGAATCTATAGTTTTTAGAATGTTTGTCTGTCTGTCTGTGACCGCATCACGGAAAAATCGCTGGAGGGATTTTAATGAAATTTGGTATGATGATAGCTGGTTATCCGGTTCAACATAATATAGAAAAATTTTTACTGCGGGAAAATAAAATCGTCTTTGAGAAATCTATACTAAACGTTAAAACGTAAGTAGGGACGAACCCGTGCGGAGCGAGGGTGAGTCGTTAGTATTATATAAATTGTATAATTTAATAAAAAAAGGTGGGTTTGATTTAATTTGATGTTTATTTTCTACTTTTTAAAGTATTTAAATAAAAGCTTGTTTTTAAAAATATTTTTTTTACAAATATTTTATTTTTTATTTTTAGTTATTCGTATTCTTCTCAGCAAACTCTTTCATTCGAGATCCATAATAATAATAATAATAAAAACATAATAATAAAAACATAGTCTGGCATTTTTATGAGTTCGCCATATTAAATTTACAATGACGTCACTTTGCTTATTATGTTTCGCTCATAAGCCCTTTCATTTGATGCTCATATCATAAGGGTTACAATAGAAATTATTAATAGCAATTTTGTAACGTCCCTCATGTTGGATTAAAAATGATGGCATTTAGATAATCGTGCATTGTCACAAACATGTGTGCCAAATTTCAGCTCAATCGAACACTGGAAAGTAGGCCAAATTTAAATTGCAAAATTTGATTACAGACAGACATCGGGACAGGTGAAACTAAATAAAAGCTTGTACAGTGTAAGTAAACTTTTTTAACAAATTTAGCCGCCACACGACTTCTTAAATTTACATCAATTTTGAATACTCTATTCGTGCTATTGTATTAGTCCGAGAGCTGGTTGGCATTTTAGTGCAGGTATTTTAGGCAAGATGAGATTTTAACAACACTTCTTTAATCATAGGCAGGTATAAGTTTTAATTAGAAGTGAACAAAAATTTATATAGTCAATATAAAAATTCACTATATACGGGAATAAAACTGGTGACATCAGGGCGCAATCTTTATTTATATGTTTTGCTTTTATCTATTTTTAAATTTATTTTATGTTTTTGTTTACTGTAATAAATTTTCACAGTTCGATGTTGTAAACAAATTAATCCTCTTCATCCGAACCAATTGTATATCTAATCTCTTGATTCTCATTGGAAATAGATATTTGTTTATATAAATTGAGGATCCTCCATTTACCAGTCAACATAAATTTTGATCACGGCATGGGGAATGTAAAGGGGGCTTGGGAGGGACCTATTGAAGTGCCCTCATGTGCACAGACTGATCACGGCCCATGGAGCACAATTCGTTTGATCTCGCCGCTTGTTCGCTAAACACTATTTATGTCCCAGCGAACCAAGGACATCTGATGACGACATAAATGCCATTAAGCAGGTGCTAAGGAATAATTACGTAAGATATAAAATAATTAATTCCTATGCGTTCATTTGTGAGAATCAAAAATAAATAGTAAGATTATGAAAGCCTAATTTTGTAACTGAGAGGCAACTCGACTAATATTCTATAATAGTAAAGTAGCAATAACATCAATATTTTTTATTTATTTATAAAAAAGAGAACCTTGGCTTTAGAATCTTAACTAAACTGTCTAAAATTTACACAAATAATAAATAATAAATAAATATGTCAGGACATTAACACACAGCGCCATCTAGTTCCATGGTAAGCTACGAGGCTTGTGTTATGGATACCAGATAGTTGATACATTATACATATATAACTTTAAATACATACATATTATAAATATAAATATCCATGACTGGAGTACAAACATTCGTGCTCATCACACAAATGAATGCCCCCAGGGGGACTCGAACCCGCGACTGCTGGCGCAGCAAGTAGGGTCACTACAAACTGAGCCAAACGTGTCGTCAAATGTCGTGTCGTCAACATATAGGATACTTTTTACCGCAAGAAAATGTCTCATTACTGAGAAAAAAATACATAAACTGCAATATAAGAGTATACTAATATGTAAAACCAAAGAATTTGATTTTTGGTCATCTGAACACGGGTGAAGCCACGGTAATGCTAGTCGCATATTAATATTTTTTTATTATTAACCATATTTATGTCAACTAGATTTATGTACTCGTATATGTAAATTCTACAATAAACTCGCGAGTAACATTTTGTGACGATATAAAATAATTTCTTAACAGTTCTGTTTCACTTTGTTTCAGGATGCGGTTAATACATTAGAAAACGAAAAAAGCATGCCAACGCAATATGTGCCAGATATTAGAGATCGTGAACAGAATGCCTGCCAAGAATGTAATCTCCAATTGGCTACGAGCAAAACAAGGAAAACATAAACAATTACCATGTCGCTAGCATGCGAATAGCTATCAGAGAATATGAATACGACCAAACCAGTAATACTGGTGGCAAGAAGCCAATCGGACTTATTACAGAGAGGACCAGAATATTTTCTGGATACTGCAAGGTCACCATATAATGCTGTTCTTGACTTCAATGCTACTTTTGACAATAATGGTACCTCTAACTTAACCAGCGATTCAGGAGAACTCTGGAATGACTACGTCAATCTTCTTCGAGATCGCGCTCTTCTAGTCACATTCTTACTTCTTTTCTCACTTACAACAGTTTTTGGAAATATGTTAGTGATACTGGCGGTCATTAGAGAAAGATATCTACACACATCTACTAACTATTTTGTGACCTCACTTGCAGTCGCTGATTGTCTTGTGGGGCTTGTGGTGATGCCTTTTTCTGCACTGTATGAAGTTTTAGAACACACGTGGTTTTTCGGTGTTGATTGGTGTGACGTTTGGCGATCTCTAGATGTTCTATTTAGTACTGCATCAATTCTTAATCTGTGTGTTATATCATTGGACCGATATTGGGCTATCACAGATCCTATAACATATCCTATGCGTATGAGTGGACGTAAAGCTGCGTTTCTTATAGCAGCTGTGTGGGTGTGTTCAGGTGCTATATCGTTTCCGGCAATTGCCTGGTGGCGAGCAGTGCGTTTAGAGGAAGTGCCCGATTATAAATGCCCATTTACGGAAAATTTAGAATATATCATATTTTCTTCTACAATATCATTTTATTTGCCCTTATTTGTCATGGTTTTCACATATTACCGTATATATCGCGCCGCAACAATTCAAACGAGATCTTTGAAAATCGGGACAAAGCAAGTAATGAGACCTAGTGGTGAATTGGAGTTAACATTGCGAATTCACAGAGGTGGAACAGTGCGACAAAGAACTGATGTGTGTCATGGTGCATGCACTCCAGAAGAGGCGGATCAAGAACCATTAACCGCGTTACAAAATAACGGACTATCGCGTTCGTCAACGCGGCTAACAAATGTGACTCATAATAAACATTTGCCCAAAAATTTTTCTCTGTCGCGTAAACTTGCCAAATTTGCTAAAGAAAAAAAGGCAGCAAAAACTTTGGGTATTGTTATGGGTGTGTTTATTGTGTGCTGGTTGCCATTTTTTGTAGTGAATCTGCTGTCAGGAATATGTTCGTCATGCATCACTCACGAAGAAATAGTTAACGTTATCGTGACGTGGCTTGGGTGGGTCAACTCATCAATGAATCCTGTAATTTACGCGTGCTGGAGCCGAGATTTTCGAAGGTCTGTATATTTTTTATTTAAAAGTGTATATCATAGTTTAGTCGTTAATATTAAATAAGCAATTTTAAGTTACTTTTCGAATAAATTAAAATATGTTAATAACGTAGGTTAGGAGATTGATTATTATTAAGTTTCGGCTAATTTCCTTGGATGACAATTTTTATATATCTACTTAACTACTGACGAATTTATTCCTGATACTCAAATTGAATTGCAACGAGGTAGCTTTATAAGTTTAGGATATAAGAGAGAATAGCAAACAAATAAAATGCATGGCCCTCAAATCTTTTGAATAAACTGGGAAACCTTTTTGTAGGTATTCATGCAACTATGTTAACCACTTTTATAACGCAATATCATATAAAATATATTCAGTCGTTTTTTTGATAGTAAGCGTAATATATATAAAAACCCCTTAATTAACTGACATCTATTAAATAAAATTTATAACATAATAATGATGTCAAGTTATATTCATGAGGAGGAGTACAGTGAGGGTGAACCGCTAGTTATATTATAAAAATGAACCAAAATAACAAGTGTTTTAGGATTTTTTCTGTGTTGATTAAGAATAAAACAAAATCGCGAGTAGAAGTACAGTTATAAGCTAGTATAAAATATTATTAGTTATTCTAACTCTATTTTATTTTAGTTTGAACTGTTATAAACGAGCTATGCGAATTTAAAAATTTGAAATAAAAATAATAAATAGCATAGCTTCACGGCTTATGCCTTGCGGCTTAAGAGAGAGTGCTACGGTCTCTACATATTTCCTATCATATCGTATATTTTGATTTGATCGATTGACCAGCAATTCAATTTATATCTTTTTTTCATAAAATAAAATATAGGGCTTGCCAAAGCTAAGTAAGATCGATAAATACTAAAAGTTACAAATATTTTGAGTCATTTATATTATGCCAATAATATTTCATGAAATAAACCAACAACCCTTGAACTATAGAATTTTTGAACAAAGACCGTCAAATATTGAGAAATTCTAAAGCTTACGTGGCTTATCGAATCGTGACCAGCGTTGGACATCGTAAATCACGTTACGTTTATTGCTACCTAAAAGCCCCGCTAAATCATTTAACGAAAAAGTGTTATTTTTTATCACCTCCAAAGTAATAATCATTTCTTCACTCGATGACATTCCTTAGTATATTATGAGAATGAGTTTATTTCTTCTACGTCCAAACAAGTATGATAAAATTCGATACGGACGTAATTCTAGAATATAACAAACTTGATTTGTAACAAATACAAGTGAATTTAACAAACTAATAAGTATTCAGCTTAAATTTATAAAAAAAACAGAATAAAACTCTTTAACAACTCTTTTTTCTTTTTAAGTGGTCTGACTTTAAATTGTTTTTCGCCAATGTAACAGTGGAGTTATTTTGTAGTCGATGTTTTTTTTTAAATAAAATGTAATTATTTATTATAGCCTTCATACCTACAAATAAAAAATTGAACTACAGTACAATATGTGATCTTGAGAAATTTAGTACAAATCTATACATATAATAAAATTCTAACTAAGCCTAATCTGTACCTTAAATATTTTTTGGAAAATCTTATTGAAATAGATGTTATTATCGATACAGAGGCCGAATCTATAGTTTTAAGAATGTTTATCTGTCTGTCTATATATCTGTTACCGCATCACGGAAAAACCACTGGAGGAATTTTGATGAAATTTTGTATGATGATAGCTGGTTATCAGGGTCAACATATAGGATATTTTTTACCGCGGGAAAAAATCTCAATTCTGAGAAAAAATACAAAAACAGCATTGTAAGAGTATACTAATATGTAAAACCTAAGAGTTTGGTTTTTTTGGTAATCTGAACGCGGGTGGAGCCGCGGGCAATGCTAGTTAACATATTAATAGGAAAAGACGAACTTTAGCATTATCAATTAAAAAAGGCATTTTCCTCAAATTTCCAATATGATTACGGTCGAAATTCGTCCACGGGGCGCATACATGTTAAACCTATTAGTTATGGTCTATAATACAATATATGAAAATTACAAAATGGCAGCAGTTTCTGTTAATATGCACTATTTCAGTACCGCATTATATATGCCTACCATATTTAAACTCAAAACTGATGCTCCGTCTGTTGACGGAGAGTTGAATAACTTAATATTCATTTATAGGCTAAATACTGTTACGTTCTCTGAGTTCTGGGATGGGCAATTAAAGTACGTCTTTTACACTATAGATGTTTTATTGCTTATGAATCACAAGAGTCACTTATGGCGGACCACAAACATGCAATATATGCACGTTTTGTCTATTACTACTATTTTCCACCACTAGTTACAAGGGCACTATGATTTTACTCCACTTTTCCCTATTACTTCTTAATTTTCTCTTAGCTTCAAAATTTAACTGAACTCTAACACACAGTCGCCCTTTTTTTATATGAATATACAAAGAACATTCTAGTATTTAATCGAAATTTCTTTAAAGAAAAGGTTTTGTTCCTCTTTAACTCAAAATATAAATAACATGTAATTATTAGTTCATTTAATGCTCGACCGCGTAGCACTTTGCATAGTCTACGCCACGTCTACAAAGTCTACGGAGTCACGTACGTATTAAATCTGCGCTCCAAGTGCTACGCTAAAAGACTATTTAAAGCAGATGTCATGTAACATAAAATATAACATATTAATCCTTAGCACGTTTTACAAATGTTATAACTTGGTTTAGTTCTAATATAATAAGTAATATATAATACGTCTAAAGAAGTATGCTTTGAATAAATAGTATTTGGATATTATAGCACATAATATTATGTAATTGTATTATGTAATTGTATATAGGAGCATTATTTCCATTTTTACTTACTCTCAGTTCTTGGCATTGTGATAATACAAATTGCGAGTACAATAACAAAGTTTGCGATGAAATTTGTATATTTATAGATATGTATTTTTATGGCATCTATGTATCTGACTATCACGTTATATTATATATTTTTTATTTGGCTTTCCTATAAACCATTCTGTATAGTATACCTATGTACTATACATGCATGGATTGACTGGAGATCTCTTTTAGAGAAAACTCCATCTTCAACCACGTATTTTTTTTTTATTTTATTAAAAAATGTTCCAAATGTGATAATGAGTATATTTTTTTATTACAATCCAAACGATAATTCATTATGTAAGGCTAAATAGTACAAATATTTAAAAAAAAAAATACTTTTTTCAATACTAGATAATAAAATGAAAATATGATCACGCTACGACTATTGTGTTTTATGAAAAATTACTATGTTTCGTTTGTATTGTTATTTTACAAATATGTAAATCTAGGTCAGTAGTGCGTTACCGCTAATGGTATTTTCCTTTGCATTAATCAATTAAGGACGCTTACATTAATCAAGACTGTGTGAAGACATTTGCTTGGAAGGTTTTTGTTCAATTTTATTATGTGATCGTCCCAATTTTTCAGATTTCGTATCTGTGTAATACAATGAATATAAAGAGTCTAAATTTTATTAGATTTTGTTAAAATATTTTCAAGGATCATATGAATTGTCTACATTTCGGAAGGTATCAGAGCACAAGCACAACTGAAGACAGTGATTGGTTTAGTTAAAAACCTCTACTCTTATTGAATATGCGTATTCTTTATTATTACCCATACTAATATTATAAATGTGAAAGTGTGTTTGTTTGTCCTTCTTTCACGTCGAAACGGAGTGACGGATTGACGTGATTTTTTGTGTGGAGATAGTTAGAGGGCTGGAGAGTGGCGTAGGCTACTTTTTACCGCGGGGGATCAAAAAACGTTAAAATTTAATCCAAAAATATATTTATGATCAGAATTACTTGAAACTTGGTATTAATGCTTTTCAATAAAATTAAATAAATACGTGTTTAAGCATTTTTCGAAATTCATCATATAAGGGGGTAAAATATAGGATGAAAGTTTGTATGAAACTTCCTTATTTAGAGATTTTTTTGTAGTTTAAGTGCGAGTGTAGCCGTGGTTCTGCTAGTATTATTATCTTTGTAGTCTTTTTAGACAACCTACTACGAGTTTTGAATTATGCTAATAAAATGAAATACATACTGTGTATAATGTATACAAAGAAATACTTTTTAGCAGTAACAAACTTCCTAATAAAAATGTTGTCGCTTAGTGAAGAGTGTTTAACGTCCTTACGCTAAAAATAATAATTGAAAATGGCACGTCTAAGCATGCAATCCTAAGATAGTCGACAATAATGAATGGCAACAACACTTAATCGTAAATTGCCGTGAGTGAGAGAGGAAGATAACATTTTTCAAAAAGGAAATAGATTACTAGAAAAGTTTCGAATTTTCAATTAATAAATGTTCTTTGTTTATACTCGTACATACAAAATGGGTCTTAGTGTGTCGAGAGTTCATTTGAATTTCCGAGCTAATTGTCAGAGAAGATTGAGAAGAAATACGAAGAAGTGAAAAGTGAGAAAAGATGAATAAATCACTACATAGTATAAAACAAAGTCGCTTTCTCTGTCCCTATATCCCTATGTATGCTTAAATCTGTAAAACTACGCAACGGATTTTGATGCGGTTTTTTTTAATAGATAGAGTGATTCAAGAGGAAAGTTTTAGTATATAATTTGTTAAGTTTTTGTATACATTGGCTGAAATATAACGATATTTATTGGAGGTGTCGGAAAAATAAGACGTCTGGGAGCTTTCAACGAAAACGCTGCCTTAATTAACCCTTTGAGATATAACAAAATAATGTATGGTGGAATTGTGTATCTTATATAGGTCTACAGAAAAGTCTGCAATTGCATATGTCTATCTCTTAAGGATAACATACTATACCCATTTTAATTTAAAACGTATCTAGGGACGAACCCGAGCGAAGCGAGGGTGAGTCTCTAGTAAATAATAAACAAATAAATATTATGGGACATTAACACTCAACACCATCTAGTTCCATGGTAAGCTACGATGCTTGTGTTATGGATACT